CAATACCGTGTTCGGAAAGAAAATGACGTGTATACGGAACCCCTAAAGGGAATAAATACGAGATGGGAGGAAAATATATATTTCAATATTTTCCCTCGCAGTTATATCGTTGGGTAATTATACTACGTATATTTCGGGCATCGGGGAGCCGCTATTATACCTGGCATTGAAACTGCTTTTGAATGCACGATCACTTTTTAGTTTCACTTTCTCTTTCGAGATTCGCGATTGCACAAAGTCTGTTTATAGTCTGTTAATACTATGGAGGGCAATACCACACATTTTACAAAATTAGATGTTTGTCAGTGGTGCTCAGGATCTGCAAATCATTCACCATCGTCCTCAGTCATCTCTCCTTACTCTGTTTATGTGGCAAGTGAAATTTTATGTACTGTAATGTAACAGGCAACCGTTACAGTTGTCGTGTCGCGCCGCACCGTGCCGCATCAGCTAAAGTCTGTCTGCACTGGATGAGACAAAGCGACCGTTGAAAATCATTTGGAATTTGTGTCAGCACTTCAGAAATAGAACGTGGCAGCAGTTTACTGTCGCGCCGTGCCGAATCCAGTGTAGACCGCATCACTGATATAATAAGTTCTATACACTGATCTATATATAATTATTCTCTATTATAGATCAGTGGTTCTATAGTATTTTGCCGCACCTCTCGCGTCCGGTGTAGACATGGTGTTAGGAATCGTTATTTGTTTTCCGTGCCTTATAAGGATTCACGCTTCGGGCACACCCCCAGTATAGAATGATACTATAGAATAGAATGAAGGATCGAACAATCGATGGATGGATGGAACAATAGAACGATGGATGGACGGATGGACGGAGAAGAGTGACAGAAAAACAGCCCAAATCACTCCTCGCTTTGTGTGTTCCAACCATTCAGCTTTTTTCACTGAGCATCTAAAAATATAAATAGCCCTGAAAGAGCGTGGAAAACTCATTTGTTTTGATAATTTCTGGTGATAATTTGTCCTCCCAGCCATCTGTGCACACATGTTTTTCATTACATCCAGGAGCTGCTTAATTAACTTTTTATTTCCCTCCCCGACTCGAGCGCACACTCCTGATGAAGTACAAACCATTTCACATCAATTACCGCGACAAAACGTGCCCCAAAAAAGCATCTCTCTGTGAGAAAAATAACAAGCACTTCACATTGCAATGTGTTAAGTCATTTCCTTAAAACATTTGCTGTTTGTTTGAATTTAATTGCTTATTAAACCATTGTCTTTCCGGCTCGGTTTCACCGATCTGCACTCCTTGCTGTTATATCAGTGTTTGTGAGTCTATTCCACATGAACATCTAATGTGTTGGTGACTTATTAAAGGAATAGTTCAGCCAAAAATGAGAACTCTGTCATTTATTATTTATTCACCTATTTTGTGAAAAAAAAAAGAAGTTGACGGTACCATTCATGTCCATAGTATTTATGCCATACTAGGGATGCACGATATTATCGGAACGATATCGGAATCGGCCGATAATGGCTTAAAATGTAAACATCGGCATCGGCCCGATATGAAAAATTATGCCGATATGCCTTGCCGATAAAATGAATAGCTCACATGTGCTCAGGGTGTGACAGTGATAACATCACGTCAGCAGTGTGGCGTTATATTTACTTAGGGGGCGCTGTTGGCTTACTTGTAATAAAATGAAAGTAACATACAGAAATAACATTAAGGTTGTGATTCTGATTGTAATTCGGATTAATAAAGCAGCAATCAGTGTCATAAAACAACGAGTATGCTTTGATTTAAAGGTCAGATTATATAGTTTACATGAATAAAAATCACAAACATGACACTTGTAAATTAAATAATTTGATATCCACCTTATTCCTAAACACGGATGTAAGCCTATGAGTGAGACTTCCAGTTCATTAGGGAAATAACGAGAAGAATAACAACGTGCAGTAAACGGTAAAACTGTTTGCAATACAAGTCAGAGTGTTCATAATTAAGATAATACACTAACATAATATGGTAAGACAAAATGAGCGGTTTTGTACAGCTAAAAATAGCTGGACGCAGATGAGACCGAAAGCGACCCATAAAACTTACAAATGGCCACGCCCATTTTTACGGGAAGAATAAGGTGGATACAGATTTATTCATTAATGTGTAATATATATATATATATATATATATATACATAATTTTTTTTTTTTTCAAACCGATTATGAAAACTACAAGGAGCTCTAAAAGATTTTCAGAATTTTCACAACTCTTTTGCTTTAGACCAACTACAAATGTTAAATCTTCAAATTAAATGTTAAGGTTACCACTGTACTTCTCTGAGAAAAAAAATGCAGTGATTGATTTATAGTTATTATCAGCTTTCAGTGTAGTCTCATAATAAAAGAACTTCATTAATTGTTCATTTAATTCTAACAAATAAGTTTTTTTGTCAAAAACTAACCAAAATTAAAAATGATTTGTTTATAATCCCTGCACAGGAGAAACTTGGTGTTGTTTCCAAACAAAAGGAAATATATTGGTATCGGCCAAAATGAGTTGAAAAATATCGGCATATCGGATATTGGCAAAAATCCAATATTGTGCATCCCTATGCCATACTATGGAAGTCAATGGCTACTGTCAACTCTTTGGTTACCAGCATTCTTCAAAATGTCTTTTTTGTGGTTAACAGAAGCAAGCAACTCATACAGGTTTGGAACGACACCAGGGAGAGTAAATGATGACAGAATTGTAATTTTTGGGTGAACTGTCCCTTTAACAAACCATTATGTCAGGTTCTGCAAGTTTTATGTGGCTCTTCTGCACACGAACGGCCGCTCTTCAGTCTGCTGCAGTAAACATTAATGTTCATAAAAGTCTCCCAGAGGCCCTTCAGATTAAGCGCCGCAGACTCCCGGCTCGGTTGCTGATCGTGCACAAGCTTTGAACACGCTCGAAACTATGTCAGCTCTGCGAGAGCCTGTATTTGTTAGTCTTCCCGTGTAAGAGGATTAGGCCTCCAGTTTGGCTCGTCCACGTTTCAAAAATTACTTCTGCTCCACTTCACACATGAACTCATGTCTCTCTCTCTCTGCGTTCTGGTAACTATAGCAACACAGACAAAGCCAGACGCAGCAGTTGGCATAAACAACCCCGGAGGTTAGTGTGGACCGAAAGAAACTCTTCTCGGGTTATTAAAGGTGTTTGCTAAAGAAATCGGGATGTTTACTTTTGCCTAAGTAACACATTTTCTTATTAGAAACTGCATAGAAAAATCTACTTGTTTGTGTCTCCCCTTGTGAAAAATAAGTACACTTGTTAAAAATAGCACTTATTACAGAAATAAGTATATACTTAAGTGTGAACTGAATGTAATATTTTCAGACACATCACTGCATGTTAATTGCATTTAAATAAAAGGTAGCACTTTAGTTTAGGGACCAATTCTCACTATTAACCAGTTGATTATTAGCATGCATATTACTAGAATACTGGCTGTTTATTAGTACTTATAAAGCACATATTAATGGCTTATTCTGCATGACCATATTTTAGATCTTTTTATACGACCCTACACCTAAACTTAACAACTATCTTACTAACTTTTAATAAGCAGCAAATTAGGAATTTATTGAGGCAAAATTAATAGTTAATAGTTAGTTGATAGTGAGAATTGGTCCCCAAACATAAGTTTGGCTATTTAAATGTATATTAAAATGCAATTAGCTGAACTTTAAAGTGGTTTTGGCCCACTTAAGTAGGACTTAATAATATGTAATTTCATAATTACTTCTGTTGGCTTTGAAATATGGTTCAAGTATGGCTGAATGTACAGACAAGCATTTATGGTAAATTAAAATATACTTTAATGTCATTCCTAGTATGTCATGTATTTAAATATAACTGTAATTAAACATTTGATGAAGCTGCAATTTAGTACATTTAAAATATATTAACTGTAAATAATATATCAAAACAATACTAAATCAAATATCAAAAACACTAAAGTTAAAATTACAATCAAGTACTGTACATGTTATTCAACACATCAAAATAAGTACATAATACAACTTTAAAGTAAAACATTATTACAAAGCTCACTTAGTGTACTTAAGTGTGTTCAGAAACAGTCATGAAAGTGTCTCTCTTTAAGTCACTTAAGTGGCTTTTTATTTAATTGATATTATATTATCTGCAAGTACAGTTTTATAAAAATCAACACTCAAGATTTGAAGTAGACTACAAGTGCACATTCTATAGAGTTAAGTGCACTTCTTTTTCACAAGGGTCATCAGCTCTGTTCTATACGAGTCCATAACTTTCAGACTGACATTAGATGGTTTCCTTCTTCCACACAGGCTGTTAACAGCGTTACTTCCTATAGCAAATGCATGTAAAAATCTACTTGTGTGTGTCTCCCCTTGTGAAAAATAAGCACACTTTAGAATACTGTTAAAAATAGCACTTATTATGGAAATAGGTATGTATACTTAAGTGTGAACTGAACGTATTGTTTTCAGACACTTAATTGCATGTTATTTTTCAATTAAATTAAATTTGTTAAATGAGTGTTTTTTGACCCACTTAAGTAGGACTTAAGTACATCCTTATCCCCCGGTTTGACAGACAAGGCTTAAGCCTAGTCCTAGACTAAAATGTAAGTCTGAGCTGTTTCAACTGAAAGAAACTTGCACTGACTGATCTTAAAATATACCAGTGCCTTTGTTTTGTCTCAAGATGCACACCAGTAATGTTTTTTTTCTAAGCACGTTCATAAAATAAATGCTTAAATGTCCTAATTGAACTTTGATCTAATCCTGGTTTACTCTAATCCCCGTCTGTGAAACCGGGTCTATATGTAATTCCATAATTACTTCTATTGTCTTTAAATTATGGTTAAAGTACTGCTGAATGTACTGACTAGCATTTATGATCAACTACAATATACTTTAATGTCACTTCTATTGAAACTCGTCTGTCATGCATTTAATATATATTTGTAATTACACATTTGTAATGATGAAGTTGCAATTTAGTGCATATAAAATATATTAACTTTAAATGTAATATCAAACAACACACTAAAGATAAAATGATAATCAAGTCCTTAACATGTGCTTTTTAAAACTTTGACATTATTTCAAATTTCACTTTTTAAAAGTGTACTTAAGTGTGTTCAGAAACAGTCATGAAAGTGTCTCTCTTTAAGTCACTTAAGTGGCTTTTTATTTAATTGATATTATATTATCTGCAAGTACAGTTTTATAAAAATCAACACTCAAGATTTGAAGTAGACTACAAGTGCACATTCTATAGAGTTAAGTGCACTTCTTTTTCACAAGGGTCATCAGCTCTGTTCTATACGAGTCCATAACTTTCAGACTGACATTAGATGGTTTCCTTCTTCCACACAGGCTGTTAACAGCGTTCCGCTCTGCGGTTCATAAGTATGTGTGTGAAGAGAGCGAGAGGGAAGGCCGCTGGGGATTTGATAATCTCCATTCCTCTGTTCCAGCATAACTCGCATACTTCAGACCGAACGGCTGCCGGCGCCAAACTCTCCATGAACACACAGAGCTCCAAAACCCCAAATCTGCCCAATGAGTGAAGCTTCTCCCTAAATAATTAGGCTGTGCCTTACTTATGAATATTTTCCAGTATTTGCATTGTTTGTGATTCGAATAATCACGTAATCTCAATCAGCTCAGATCAGGGGAGCAAAGATTCACAGCAGACTGTCAAAACAAATCATTGAATAATTAACTGAGACACAAATCTTAAGATTAGCTGTGACTACAGCATGTCTGAAATGACCAAAGACACGAGGCAGCATACTGTGCAATATATACGGTTCACTTATATATATATATATATTTAGATCTTTTGCTTAACTACACCAGTAATGAACATCAGTTTTACATTTCCAAGCATTTACACTGCTGGAATTGGTACGATTTTTAAAATGTTTTTGAAACAAGTTTCTTCTGCTCACCAAGGCTGTATTTATTTGATCAAAAGTACAGTAAATGCAGTACAAAATTGTAAATATTTTTGCCATTTCAAATAACTGCTTTCTATGTGAATATATTGTAAAATGTAATTTATTTCTGTGATCAAAGCTGAATTTTCAGCATCATTACTCCAGTCTTCAGTGTCACATGATCCTTCAGAAATCATTCTAAGATGCTGATTTGCTGCTCAGTTATTAATAATGATACTTTCAACATTCAAAATCTTCAAAAGAACAGCATTTATTTGAAATGACCCCAAACTTTTGAACAGTAGTGGATGTAAATAACTCGCATACTTCAGACCGAACGGCTGCCGGCGCCAAACTCTCCATGAACACACAGAGCTCCAAAACCCCAAATCTGCCCAATGAGTGAAGCTTCTCCCTAAATAATTAGGCTGTGCCTTACTTATGAATATTTTCCAGTATTTGCATTGTTTGTGATTCGAATAATCACGTAATCTCAATCAGCTCAGATCAGGGGAGCAAAGATTCACAGCAGACTGTCAAAACAAATCATTGAATAATTAACTGAGACACAAATCTTAAGATTAGCTGTGACTACAGCATGTCTGAAATGACCAAAGACACGAGGCAGCATACTGTGCAATATATACGGTTCACTTATATATATATATATATTTAGATCTTTTGCTTAACTACACCAGTAATGAACATCAGTTTTACATTTCCAAGCATTTACACTGCTGGAATTGGTACGATTTTTAAAATGTTTTTGAAACAAGTTTCTTCTGCTCACCAAGGCTGTATTTATTTGATCAAAAGTACAGTAAATGCAGTACAAAATTGTAAATATTTTTGCCATTTCAAATAACTGCTTTCTATGTGAATATATTGTAAAATGTAATTTATTTCTGTGATCAAAGCTGAATTTTCAGCATCATTCCTCCAGTATTCAGTGTCACATGATCCTTCAGAAATCATTCTAAGATGCTGATTTGCTGCTCAATTATTAATAATGATACTTTCAACATTCAAAATCTTCAAAAGAACAGCATTTATTTGAAATGACCCCAAACATTTGAACAGTAGTGGATGTAATACACATTTCAAACAGTAATATGCTACATTTTTGACCTCATGTATGTTGCATGTTGTCACCATGTTAAGGAATAGTTAAGGGATAGTTCACTCAAACTACCCACTGCTACCCATTGACTTCCATAGTATTTTTTTTTTCCATACTATGGAAGTCAATGGGTACCGCCAACTGTTTGGTTACCAACATTCTTCAAAATATATTATTTTGTGCTCAACAGAAGAAAGTAAGTCATACAGGTTTGGAACGACATAGGGTGAGTAAATGAAAGAATTTAAATTTTTGGGTGAACTCTATTTTTAAATCTGGGGTGTGTTTCCCAAAAGTAACTATGGTCGCAAGTTCCGTCTTTACCAACAGAGTTCAATGGAACTTAAGACCATAGTTGCTTTTGGGAAACGGCACCCCTGTCTGATTTGTGAATAAATCATTTAGTTTGATTTGTAAACAAATTACTCGGTCCAAATATAAACAGGAATAAACTAGTTGAAAAGAATAGGTGAAAAAAATGATTGGTTTACACAATGATCCATTCCATGAGTGAGCAGTTCTCAAACTAAACGCTCTTTTAAAGTGTTTTTTGCACCTGTCCTTATATGAACATTCTTTGAAATTTCCAATTCAAGTCACATGGAGGGTAAATAAATCAAATTATTATTTTTTTCTCTGTTTGAAATGGTTTGTTGTTTGGCTAACAAAACAGAAGTGTTATTTCCAGTGTTGTGCTTTTTCTTACATGCTCCTTCAGATGCTGCACTGATTTCTGCAGGGCGAGGATCTGGTGAAACAGAGGACTCTGCAGGACCGCCTTCAGAAGATTCAGCTTCTCCTCAGCAGGAACATCTGCTCCCTTTTCTTTCAAGCGAGACTGTAACCTCTCCACCGCCTGCAGACAGCGCTGGGTATCTGGGTATCACACACACAGACACAGACACAGACACACACACACACACACACACCTGTAACGAAACTCTGGAGACCACCGTCAGAAATTATTTCCAATCACAGAAACTATTCCAGCTTTGACAGCCTTTCATTTCTGTTTGTTCACTAAAGTTTGAGTATCGTGTCAGAAGCGCTGATAGATCCTTCAGTCTGTGATGAGCTGCGGTAGAAATGTTTTCTATAATTCACTTTCTTTCTCACACAGGTACATTATTCCACTTAAATATTCAGGGAATATTTAAATAATTGAGGGAAGAGTGGATTCGCATCCGTTCATCTTCAGAGCGGCGTGGAGTGTTTTCTGTGGAGGATTTCATTGCCGTGAGGAGGTGCTTTGTCTTCTAATCGCACAGCCTGATGCCTCATGGGTATGAATGCTAGAGCACACATTCCTCTCACTGAACAAGAGCAAGAGAGTCAATAATTCACAGCGAAAGCTGGAAAAAAACTTGCACATAGGACAATTTATAGGGTGGAGCTTATTAATTAGACTATAACCCACATAATATAATATGATCTCTGACTGTTGTGCACTAATTTAAGAGATCTGGGCTGCGTTTCACAATATTGTACGCCCATGTACACTCAAATAAATATTTTGGCTTAAATGTAACATTTATGTATTTGAATTTCTGTGTCATCACGTTCTATTAGTTCTACAGCTTCAGTTTCGGACAACAGTGAAACAGTGCAACAGTGAAAAGAGACCCGTTTCAAACAGTGTCGCGTTCCGAACGTTGTTTAAGCGACATACACCGGTATTGCGGTATTTTAAAAATTCATATCATAACAAAAATAAACACCGGTATTCGGTATGAACCGGTATACCGCCCAGCACTAATTACATGTAGAATTTGCATCCATTTGGATCAAACGGTTTTAACATAAACTAACAAACATAAGGTGATGCATATTTATCAGTCATACATTAATAGGTCAGATTTCTGTATTAGTACTAATAAACTGAAGGTTTAAATGCACAATAACCAGCTTTATATATTTATCATCAATAAATCTGATTTGTTTCAATCGCGTACATTTTAACTAACTAAATATAGCCTGTTCCACAGCTGGTCATATCTTATATTTATATAGACATATTTTATATCTTAATAAATTTAATTTCTTTGACGATGAACAGATTTTTATGGAAGCTGTTTCTATCACTGAATAAAAAATAAAACAAATGTAAATGTGACTTTTTATCTCACAGTTCTGATTTTTTGAGGGAAAAAAGACTATTTTCCTGACTGGTTTAATTTATGTATGACTCCCATTAAATTTGTTTATGTTAAATCTGCAATGGACCGATATTTTATATGCAATTCAAATACATTTAGGCCTAAATATTTTAGATCATGCCACTATTTTCTATGATCTCCTTAGGCTTATGCTGTGGGAAACGCAACACAAGTCTTCATTACAGCATTTGCTAATTTCCGAAATATTTCTGACTGCATATTTTATGATAATTATAGCCACTGTGTGAGTTTTTATTTTTATGTATTGTGTCTTATTTTGTGCATATACAAGACAAGTGCTGCTGCCTATCTTGGCCAGCATACTCTTGTAAAAGAGATTTTAAGTCTCAAGAGTTTTTATTCTCCTGCTCAAATAAGGCTGAGAGAATGAAACATAAATAGCGCTCTCCTGTCAGCTATCGGCACTTTTTTATTCCTTCACAACGAGGCACAAAGTGGCTTTCCAGAACCTTCACTCTCTCTGCTCCTCTCTGGTGGAATGAGCTGCTTTGGATAAAAGCATCTGCTAAATACGTACATGTAATAAGCAACTTATTTCTCATATATGAGCCGCCAGCAGGTATGCAGTGTGTATGTGAGGGTGACTGAGCTGTTGTGTGAGACTGGTTTGTGCAGCCATGCCTGGCGAACGCCTGGATAAGCCCCAGAATCCTGCCATAGGGAGCCGCTCGAGCCTCCAGGTTTGTCTGCAGAAGTCTAGGTCATTTCCATTCTCACCGAGTGTGACTAAAGCAGTGTGTGTGGAGTATGTGCAGCTCTTCAGAAACCACTGACTGTAAACAACCCCACAACAAGCAGCAAGAGCAAGCAAACTCTCACACAGAGTCACACACTTTTCCTTTCTGCCGTATATGGCTTTTGGACACATCGGTGGCATGGAAAGTAACTCCAGCACTTTACAGAGAAGCTTGAGCTGTTGGCCAGTGGCAGACGCAAAACTAAGATCAGCTTTATGTGTGCGCAAAAGTTTGGGGTTATAATAAGATTTTTATTAAAAATACTGTAAAAATTGTAATGTTGTGAAATATTATTACAATTTAAAATAACTGTTTTCTATTTGATTATATGTTAAAATATAATTTATTCCTGTGATCAAAGCTGAATTTTCAGCAAATTCAGTGTCACATGATCCTTCAGAAATCTCTTTACTGTCACTTTTGATCAATTTAAAACGATCAGTTTCTTTAAAATTATAAAAACTTAACTCTAATTAATTCTAACTCAAATCTCCAGGATGTAAAGATCTGGAGTTTTGGTCTGTAGTACGGTAGTTAATTATGATTAGAACTAACTAAATTAATAAATAAATAAATATTGGATATACATTTAACCAGCAACACACTTAATGACTACTTTTCTACAAATAAAACTTTTATATTTCTACATAAAATTCAAATCTGTTGTCTTAAAGGATTACATGGATTTATCAAAACATGCCAAGAACCTGTCCAGGTCATATTTCAGTCCAATTAATTTTTAATAATTTCTAATTACTATGCTTTTGCTTGTTTTTATTTTCTGGTTAAATAATGGCTGAACTTTCCAAAACGTTCACTCTGTTAGAACAAGTTGCTTTGGATGAAAGTATCTGCTAAATGCAAAAATGTAAAATGCATAAATGTTACAAGCAAATTTTATTAAAAACAAACAAACAAAGGACTACATGGGATTATCTTACAAAACATGTCAAGAACTTGCCAAGCTCATATTTCACTCCAAAATCTAATTATTATTATTATTATTATTATTTAAGAATTATAGTTATTTAAATTACATTTTGTATAAAGGATATGCAGCCTCACAAATACAATTTCGTCTTTTGATTTTAGGGTTGAATATTGCTCTGAAATGCTCCTGACAGGTTTTGTGAGATTCAGCTCATTCACTCTGATCTTATGGCACTTGGCACAACATGAATGGCCACAGAATGATAAGAGCACACGTTTTAACTTATCATTTTATTATTTCACACTCAGTATTTTAACTTAAGCGCTGCAAGCCATGCACTCAGAGCCGGACATGTAACTTTAAAGGAATTCCTTTAGCTTATTACCGTTACTGTGGCAGCCAGCAACAGCACAGCTTAACCCTGCGCACATTTTTATATTTAGTTATATTGAAAAAGTTTCAGTAGCTGTCGGGCAAGATGGTGGATAGCAGCAGCGGCACATAATATCCGCATTCTGATTGGTCAGATCGCCTGTCAATCAAGCTCCCTGCGAACGGTCAATTACCCACAATCCTGTGCAGACCAATCAGACATCAGAGGCCATATTTCCACAGAAATGCAAAAATAAATGAACTTACCCGTTGCTTCGATCATCTTGTGTGTCCTTCCTCTCTCTTGTTGTCTTTCCTCATTACCTAGACTTACGTCATGCCTGAAATCAACACAGTTTAGCTGTTACAAGTGCATTTGACAAAAGGGACAAGGACATGACATTCATTTTATTGTTTGTAAATACAGAACTGTACCAATTCGTACATACAATGCTGTGCAATGTTGCTGCTGTCAACTAAAACTATTAAAAATAGATTTTTGGTGATTGAAATAAATCAGAAATAAAATAAATGAATGTAGAGCACCAGTCTGTATTTGCAGAAAGCAGAATAAGGCTTGAGAGCTTTAGTGGAGAAACTTAAAATTTCAGTATGTTTCCTAAATAAAGCTATTGTCTGGAGTAACATAAAAAGTGAGCAAACAATGACAACTTTCATTATGGATGAACTATTTATTTATAATTTCACTTGACTCTGTGACCCTGGAGCACAAAAGCAGTAATAAGTAGCACAGGTATAGCCTATTTGTAGCAATAGCCAACAATACATTGTATGGGTCAAAATTATAAATTTTGCTTTTATGCCAAAAATCATTAGGATATTAAGTAAAGATCATGTTCCATGAAGATATTTTGTAAATGTCCTACCGTAAATATATCAAAACTTAATTTTTGATTAGTAATATGCATTGCTAAGAACTTCATTTGGACAACTTTAAAGATGATTTTCTCAATATTTTGATTTTTTTTTGCACCCTCAGATTTCTGACCACCCCGTGGTTCCCATGACGATGGGACACAGAGACTGGCTCTGGTTTCTTTAGAGACGTCTGTAAGCGACAGGTCTGCAGTGAACAGCTGCCATTGTGGGAGTTTTTTATCATCACTGACTACAATGAGAGGAGGATGAGATTTACTGAAGAACCAGAGCTGACGTAAAACAGTCCAGTGTGCATTATTTCCTATCAGAGGTCAGCCAGAGACTAAATTCTTGCCCTATCAGCAGTCTGGACAGCGTCTAGATGTTTGACATTTTCTGATAAGGGTAACACAGTCAAGACATTTATAATGTTACAAAAGATTTCTATTCCAAATAAATGCTTTTGAATTTTCTATTCATCAAAGAATCCTGAAAAGTAAAAATGATCAGTTTCCACAAAAATATTTGTCAGCACAACTGTTTCCAACATTGATAATAATCATAAATGTTTCTCGAGCAGCAAATCAGCATATTAGAATGATTTCTGAAGATCATGTGACACTGAAGACTGGAGTAATGATGCTGAAAATTCAGCTTTGCATCACAGAAATAAATTACATTTTAACAGATATTCACATAGAAACAGTTATTTTAAATAAAAAATAGCAGAGGACCTAAGACAGATCCTTGTGGCACTCCATATTTTACTGGTGATAATTGAGATGACTCCCCATTTAAATGAACAAAGTGGTAGCCATCTTAAAGCCTGCCCTTGAATACCTGTATCCTTAGTGAGCAGACGATTTTTTAAAACACATTTTAAAAAATCATACCAACCCCAAACTTTTGAACAGAAATGTTAATAAATGAAGAAGAAGAAAAAAATCCCAGACTATGTTAAATACAGGATGAGCATGGCTTACTATTTTTTGTTTCGTCCTTTGAATTATTGGGTACCAAGAGCATCAAACCATCGAAATTTAGAAACCAAAATTGAGGATCTCCACTATGCATTTTATGGTAACACTAATACATTTCAACATTTGATTGTAGGAAACAATTTGTCAACGTTTGCATCATAAACATTTAGGAACAGAATAGCTGGATCACCAAATCTTAATACTGAAGCAAAACCACTGCATTAGAATAGCAATAACCGTCAGTATCACTATCCGCTCGGCTAAATGCCCTCTATATGTTAGCCTCGCTGCTGTGGTCATATGGACTAATGCTCTTACGTGAGGATTAACTTCTTCCTCCCTCCCATCATGCAGGTTTAATTAACGTGACGGAGACACGCTACAAGAGAAGATCAAGTCTTTTCTCTCCTACACACTACACGAGTAAAACAACATGCAGCCACGACCAAACAAAAAGTCATTTCAAACAGATGCGTATGCCATTTCTGCAACAAAGACACACCATATATCAAAGATAAGTTAGTTAAATAGTGTTTATTACTCTGCAATTACAGGGTGATGAAGTAATGAATGAAATATCACTATTTGATGTCACACAGATGTAGCTGGCCTGTTATCTGCATATTAAAGAGATTCTGATCCACAGCAGCTGTTGAAACATTGAAAATGATTGCCAGATTGTTTCAAGTACGCATTATTTGGGTCACACAATTTCAGATTAAGAAAATGTATATAAGGTAAAGAAACTCACGGCCTGAAGTTACTGCAAAATAACTGGGCTCACAAATAAAGACTGAAGCACAGAAACGGGTCTGACGTGTCATTTTGTGTGGGTTTTTTTTTTTTTTTGGCCCTTAAGTCCCTCAAAACACACTTTTTCTCACTAGTTCAGCTTGTCTACTAACAATGTCCAAACACATGCAGCACACCAGAATTGTGTGATTTTGTCATATTTTTGCAATGCAGATTTTACTAGAGAATGTAGGATTTACTTTGAAACTATTTTCACTCAGAAATTGCCAGTACATTTCACATAATTACAAAGAAAAGGCAAGCACCATTGAATTAAACATGCAATTTTGATGTAGGAAGACTGAAATAGGAGGCTACTTCCTTGTAAATTCGAATATTTTGTTTTACTTAATTTCTTACACTGTAGCCTACATCTAAAGTTATTTTGCGTTAAAAAAATATTTATTGGAAACAAATTGTAATAAAATGGCTCGCTGCTTTGTCTTACTGAGACTAATTTAATAACTCGCATTTATGTCTAAGCACACGTAATGAAATAATATTTTAATAATTTGGTAGTTTGATTGTTAATGACATCTAATAAAAATCCTCACAAGTGATTTTCGTCACGTCTCATCGCATGCTCGTCTCCTTGGTAACCAAGCAAGTACACTAACTTTAGGGACACAACTGTTGCTGCTGGTGGAAATGATGTCACAGCTGAGGGACAAATTGATCTACAATAGTTGAGTATCTGAAGCGCGCTGTTTATTTCACTCTTTGTTTAGACCGTATTTTGTGATGCATTTCTTTTTTGAAGAATGCGTCTAGCACAAAGGAAAAAAATTAAATACACATAAAATGCTTCAAAAATAGAAAAAAAAAAAAATAGCTGTAATGGGACCTTCATATAGCGACAGAATCAAAACTAGGCAGATAAACGTGTCTGTCTTGGGACAGTGTGTCAGATAACGCGTGTCCCGTTACTCGCTGATCTCTTTGTATCCGCAGGCCTGTCGGGAATAAAATCCGCTTTTCGTACCGAGCACGGAATGAAGCAACAGGCTGCTGGCGCGACGGACGACGAGAAAAGTTGACCAAACGGAGCAAATAAAGTTCGGGAGACGGCATTAAAATAACGACGCACGGCGGCTTTCATCAAAGAATCGATGATGCGCGAGCGACACTGTTTCGTTCCAACAAAAGCGCGTTTGTAACAATGTATCTCAAGCCGACCAGATCAAAGCCCGCCGCGCCAGTCACACACATTCGCGGAGAATAACGAGTTCTGTTGAGAATAACTTACATGAACGGCGGTATCTCGCTACGGGACGGAGCTTATCCGGTTGTGTTGTGTTAAAGATGGGCGCTGTGTTTGAAACTGGAGCCGCCCCGCAGACACACACACACACACACACACACACACACTGCGCCGCTCCGTGGCTGCCGCGACCACTGAATCCCTGTAAACCTCACAAACATCTGAAGAAAACTGCACTGGAATAGATAAGAGAGCCTGCTTGGTTCAGAAATATTTTATTACCAGACACAGAAAATCATATAGTCAGTATATATATATATAATCGGGGCTAGTTGTCACATGGGAAAGTTGTCATTCCAGCAGCTTGCAGCAGGGAAAGAACAATCCACACTGCTTTCACATTCCACTGGGCAAAGATTGCAGACATACCAGTCCCTCTCTCCTCTCCCTCTTCTGCTCCATCAGACTCGGGTCACCAAAAGTTCACTTAAAGAGTGTTTATGTGTCATATATAATGAATTCTTTGTTTCCCATGTTCACGTTTGGTAAAATAATTTACCCAGTGTGATCCCAGAGTAAAAAGAAGAGGCTTATAACTATATGTTTTATTTTTTTATTTTTAAACTACAGTATTTGTTAAATAAAGCAGTAGTTTAGCCCGTATAGATATACACTGTAAAAAATGCTACAATAAAAACCTGTTAAATGGTTTGGTGTTTAGTGTTTGTGTGAATGACACTGAGCACCTTCTATATATATGTTATTATTTAAAAGCTGCTCGTGATGGGTTTTGGTTCATCATGTGACTTCCTCATCACCTCCTGCATTTGGTGGTTATCAGTGTATTACAAAGGTACAAAACTGATTTCAGTACTTCAATAAGGTTGGTATATTAACATTATATCAGTTAATGAAATTACGCTATTTAACTGTAAATTTAAGTTAAAACCATAAAACCTAAAACGTTGCTATCGTATTTTTTTACGGTAAAATTCCGGCAACCACAGCTGCTGGTTTTTTACCGTAAATTTTACGGAATTTTTTTTACAGTGTACATGGTTTTATTTTTACAGCATTTCTAAATATAATGTTTTATTTTGTCTATATTTATGTTTATATGTTTTAAACCGATCTATATGAATACATATTTAAGTAGTCTATTTTTCAGAGTAATAACAATAAAACCACAGATTTTGAAAGTGATGAAATTGGACTCTATATATACATCTATATACATCTTTCAAATACATTTAGTGGCTTGATGAAAGCAAATAAAACAATATGTGAAACATAATTTTTTTTTTTGCATTTTCCAAACAATATAAAAACAGTATAAATATAGAAATGCACTAAAATAGCGCAAGGTGAAGTAGCATAAATTTTGAAAAAAGCACAAATGGGTAGTTTATAAGGCAAAAAGAGACCAAAGAGCAAAACTTGAAGCTAGCAAAGTACTAGTACAAGGAGTATCAGTTTTACATTTTCAAATTATGACAATCTACATTTTTATGTAACTGACTTATTTCCAGTCTTAAAGAAAGAAATTGCACAGTCCAAGCAGTTTCTGCCACTGGCCACAAGTTTAAATTCGATTTTGAATCCCAGATTTTCATAGCATGTTTTTATGGCGTCAGACTGTTGACCCTGCTGTTTATTCCTGCAGTGAGCACGTTAGCAGATGTGACCTGCACCTAAAGTCCAAGACGACCAGCAGGACCATTCATCAAAGACTTTATATTGGACATACCGCTCCTGTTTTTAATTCCAGTGTCAGGAAGACTAATTAGGATGTAGAGGGAATATCAACTAATTAGGTGCACTGCCTCTACATTGAAAATCAAATCAGAGTATAGCTTGACTGCATGAATAACCGCGCTGCATGCACAGACTCTCAGACAGGAACTCATCCTGTTCAGCAAATATTCCTTGGCTATGTTTGCAATGCACAAGATAACACATTGTGTTCAATTTTACATTTTCATTATTAGTGTTTTGTTCTCTAAAATAACAGATCAAAAACATCTTATTTGCTCAATATTTTTCCTCTTTTAGAAAGACATAGAAACAAAATAATTGGTGAAGTTTAAAGAAATAGGTGAAATGAAATGAGAATTTGTTGAAAATGTCTTCACCCTCAGAAAATCCAAGATTAGGATGAGTTTGTTTCTTCATCAGATTTGGAGAAATGTAGCACTGCATCAGTGTCTCAGCAATGGATGCTCTGCAGTGAATGGGTGCCGTCAGAATGAGAGTCCAAACAGCTGATAAAAACATCACAATAATCCACAAGCAATCCACACCCCTCCAGTCCATCAGTTAATGTCTTGTGAAACTGTGTGTTTGTAGAAACAAGTCCATCATTAAGATCTTTTAACTTTAAAACACAAGTTCATAATAACGCTTCCTCCAGTGAAAAAGTGGTCTGAATCAGGAGAGAAATCTGCACAGATCAAGCACAGTTTACAAGCCAAAACAGTCCAAGATGTTAACACAAGTTGTTAACTCATGTTAATATACCGTTTTTACAAATGAGGACATACCCAAAAGGAGGTTTTGTCAGATTTATATCACTTCTGGGTACAAATTTGCCCTCAAACACACTGAGAACTGTGGCGCTGAAACACCTGGAGAAGAGCGAGTCCCTTGCGCTCATAGTTTTACAGGATTAGCGTCTCCTCTCTGTACCAGTTGTGACATTCTGATCAAATCAAATTAAGTCACAATGCCGCTGATGGAAATGAAAGTTAAATGTATCACAGTCCCTTTAGGGCCTATAAAAACACCTCTTCAGTTAAACTCACCTCTGCTGTGCTTCGGAAAGCCACATAAACAGACTGTAAATGAAACAAGCCCCATGTCTCTGAAACACAGGCTCATTGGAAATACGTGACCCTGGCTATATTAGTGCAGAAACAAATCCATTGCTCTAGGTCTATTTCACTGCATTTTACAGATGACACGTCCACAAGAGGTGCTATAAGCGATATAATTTTTTTCCTTCATTGCAGATGCAGCACAGCGTCATGAAAAAGCATGCATGAGGGTTGCAAAATGATATTGCGTTCCTTGTAGCACATTTCACAGCAGTTTTAAAGCAAAATGTCTTTCACTAAATAGTTTTCTTCAAACAGTTAAACATTTTAATACACTGGTTGTTGTTTATATCGCGGCAGTTCGGAAATGTCCTGAGAGGTGCGCTAAAAGCTTCACAAACCTAAAGCAAACCCTCATGAGGTAAATACACACTGCTGAATCAATCATCCCATTTAATCTGGCTTCTACGGTCTTTGAGGTCTTTAATCGTGATTTGTGTTTCACAGGACTTATACCTGAGTGCTTTGTGTCTCAAGTTTAATGCTGTACTGGGTGCGCAATCAAGCAAGTTTACTACACCAGATAAGCCAAACATATGGAGCTGGTTATGTGATGCAAACGTCAAATTGTTTTAGTTTACAACTCATGCACTATGGTAAGTGTTTTTAGGTTACATAACATGGTATTTTGCAAGGAACCACATGAAAATAAGTCCTTAGGAAATTAGTTCTGGTACTATGAAAAGGTTCCCGCGGTGCGAAAGGCCCTTTTATTAATCAATAATCTGCCCAAGTAATCATAATTTGTGTGAAAAGGAATAAAAGTTGTTGGTATTTTACTGCCACTAGTGTTTCATTTCAGTTGGTAATTGCAGTGTATTGTATGTATTGGTACATTTTTAGCAGTTTTTCAGAAACATAGCTAGAGTGAGATGTTATTTTTTTTTCAAGATCCACCTCCTGGATGGGAGCATACACTGGAAAGCCTTCGACAAGGAAGCAACAGGTTGGCTCTGTATCCAAGAACTGTTGGTGGTACCGAACTCTAAAGCAGAGACTGTAATAAGACTGGAACATTTGCCTCCCATAGCAGGTCATTTGAGGATAAAAATGACGTTCAGTCATTTCAGGGGCCACTTGCACTGGCTTGGCTTGGAGAGTGACGTGCATCGGTTCTGCCAAAACTGCGATATGAGGCAGCAAACATCCCTCATTAAGCCCCTGCTGACGACTTATATTAATCCCTGGTGCTAACTGTAAATTCTTGGCCTTGCAAGCAATGTAATTAGGATTTTATTTGACTTCAGCACCCAAGCTGTGCTGGCTGTCATAATCGGGATGTTTCAGATTAAACTGGAAAGTTCTCTCTTAAACTGCAGGCGTGTTGGGAAAGCGGGAGTTGGACCACACGATGGAAAATTCGTAGGTGTTGTTACTGCAATATATCCAGTCATTTCCATCAGAAATATACACGTTCCCACACATAATTTCAGCCTGGGAGCAGGATGATCAGTGGCCTCTGAGGAAGCAGAAGAAGGTGAAAATCTTTCCATTCCTACCAAGTGAAAAAGAATACTTAAAGGGGTCATATGGTGCTCTCCAAAGAGAAAGGAAAACTTGAAATCGCATCATATGACCCCTTTAAGTGCAACCTACATGTTTTTAGACATATAATTGCATGTTAAATGCAATTAAATAAAATGTATTACAGTTTAAATTTATATTAAATGCAAGTTGAACTTAAAAGAATGAACTCAAGTAGGACTTAAATGCATCTTTAAATGTCATTTTATAATTACTTCTATTGTCTTTGAAATATGGTTAAAGAACTGCTGTATGTACTGACAAGCATTTATGGTAAAGTGTATACTTTGCTGTCATTTCTATTAAAACTTGTATGTCATGTTTTTAAATATATTTGTAATTAAACCTTTGTAATGATTAAGTTGCAATTTAGTACATTTAAATCTGAATTTTTAACGTAATATTGAATAACACGCTAAAGTAAAAATCATAAACCGTCATAAAAATCGTAATTTACGTGTCAAAATAAGTGTACTTTAACATAAGATTATGATTTAAATTATAATGTAAAATTTACTTTAAAGTAAAATGTTATTTTTTATTATTACAAATTGCACTTAAAGTCTACTTCAATGTGTTAAGAAACAATCATGAAATTGCCTCTCTTCAAGTCACTTAAGTGGCCTTTTAAATTATTATTAATATTATATCATCTGCTAGTACAGTTTTTAAAAATATACTTTTAAGAATAAACATAATTTAAAGGCTAAAAAGATACTTAAAATAGTTGCACTCTGATTGCTCTGTCTGTCACAGTGAAATTGTCTCTGTATTAGCGACAAATC